GTGATACCATCTTGGCTCACTGCAACCTCCGCCTTCTGGGTTCAAGCGATTCTCCTGCCTCAGCCTCCCGAGTAGCTGGGATTACAGGAGCTCGTCAGCACACCTGACTAATTTTTCTATTTTTAGTAGAGATGGGGTTTCACCATGTTGACCAGGCTGGTCTCGAACTCCTGACCTCACATGATCGGCATGCCTCAGCCTCCCAAAGTGCTAGGATAACAGGCATGAGTCACCATGTCCAGACAATACTAGCTCTTTTTAATTTTTAAAAGTTAATACTTGTTGGCCGGGCATGGTGGCTCACGCCTATAATCGCAGCACTTTGGGAGGCCGAGGCAGGCAGATCACCTGAGGTCAGGAGACCAGCCTGGTCAACATGGTGAAACCTCATCTCTACTAAAAATACAAAAATTAGCCAGGTATGGTAGCAGGTGCCTGTAATCCCAGCTACTTGGGAGGCTGAGGCAACAGAATTGCTTGAACCTGGGAGGAGGAGGCTGCAGTGAGCCGAGATCGTGCCATTGCACTCTGGCCTGGGCAACAGAGCGAGTTTCTTTTGAGATGGAGTTTCGCACTTGTTGCCCAGGCTGGAGTGCAATGGCGTGATCTTAGCTCACCACAACTTCCACCTTCCAGGTTTGAGTGATTCTCCTTCCTCAGCCTCCTGAGTAGCTGGGATTACAGGCATGCACCACCACGCCCGGCTAATTTTTGTATTTTTAGTAGAAACAGGGTTTCGCCATGTTGGTCAAGCTGGTCTCAAGCTCCTGACCTCAGGTGATCCACCCGTCTCGGCCTCCCAAAATGCTGGGATTACAGGCCGGAGCCACCACGCCCGGCCGATTATTGCTTATCTTGTGTGTCTGCTTCTGCTTCTACCTCTGAGAATAATACATCTGGGGACACTACAACCCACAATTTAGCGCTTCAGAGTTTTTAAGGTCTTACCTCTGGTGTATTTCCATTTAAGACGTTAAGGCTAAGATACTCCATTCTATTCTTCCCTTGAACGCCTATTCTTTTGCCATGTTTTCTTCTTGAGTAGCTCACAACCTGGTGCTCCTTTTCCTTTCTTTCTCCCCCATGAGGAGATTTTCTCCTTGCTTGAGACTGACCAGCTTCAACGGGAACCCCAGGAGGTACCATCTGGTCCTGAATAGAAAGATCAGAGACAGCGTTGCAAGATAGTAGTTTAACAACCTAGAAACACAAGAAAGGGATTTAGGAACTAGCATTAGACTTCATTTCTTTCCTCATGGAGTTGAGAAATGCTCTCTCTCTCTCTCTTTCCACAATAAAACCCAGGCTTTCGCTCCATCAGTAGTCTCACGGCATTATGAGGGATATATATTAAGTTCATAGGACACATGACATTCATACAGGGAATTTCTTTTTATTTTTTGAGACAGAGTTTCACTCTTATTGCCCAGGCCGGAGTGCAATGGTGTGATCTCGGCTCACCGTAACCTCCACCTCCTGTGTTCAAGTGATTCTCTTGCCTCAGCCTCCTGAGTACCTGGGATTACAGGCATGCCCCACCATGCCCAGCTAATTTTTTGTATTTTTAGAAAAGACAGGGTTTCCCCCTGTTGGTCAGGCTGGTCTTGAACTCCCAACCTCAGGTGATTCGCCTGCTATGGCCTCCCAAAGTGCTGAGATTACAGGCATGAGCACCTACTCCAACTATAATACTGTCTCCTTCAAATCTGCTCCATCGGATTGGCAGAGATCTGCCACCTGTGGAGTCCTGGAGAGTTACCTGGGAAGGAAATGAAGCCTTTTCCTCTTCAGATGAGATCTTTGAACTGTCCTTGGTATCCTTCCCCTTAGTCTGAGCTTCTGGTTTCAGGAAACTCTCAGGGGGTATGTAGGGAAACTTCCAATCCAGTTGCACTTGAATAGACCCGTTGGGTTTCTCTGCAGGGTCAGTGAGGTTAAAATCACCTGAGAGACAAACAGATATTAATAAGACTTGATCACATGAAATAAACAAGTGAGCATTTGTCAGCATCTTATCTATTTCCTTCCTATTTTTAATTTCAACATATTTTATCAGCAATTAATTAACATCCATCAAATAATTACGATGATGATACACTCAGAAGTAAAATCAAATAGCAGAGCAGTTAGAATATTAACCAGGGAAGATGGGTTATCTCTAGGATTCAGGGAGAGATAGTGAAAGGTGTATGAAAAGGAGTACAGCTTGCTTGTCATCAGTCATCCAGCCAATAAACAAGATTGCATTATTATTACTATTATCAAATGCTTACTGTGCCTTTGTTGTTCCAAGAAAACTGTCATCTCTACCCTCAAGTGGTCCCAAGAAAACTTAAGCAAAATGGCTTTTTCGAAATGCCAGACGTCTGATTTGTAACACTGATTAACAGATGGCTTATACTGCTTCCTCTGGCAAAGCAGTTGCGTCCAGAAGTGTCAGCCTTTTTTTAAGCAGTTGTATTGACGAGAGAGCTGCACACATTTCCTGGAGCATCCAGAATCTTGTTAAATATGGTTGTTTCTGGCTGCAGCTATTCCCACTTCCTAAGGAGAACACGGATACCCCCGCCTCACCCTCCCAGGACCGTAGTCAAAGAGTCGACCCCTCTTGGTACGCCCCCACAATCCTAGGTATAAAAGTTAGGAAAGACAGTATGGAGCTCAGCTCCACACTGGGAGAAAAAAAAAATCCAAGACATTTGCCTTTCACATGGCCTGGTGTGGAAATCTCTCTAACTTGTGTCCACTGTTTAAAAGAAGTGAGAGAATGATGGGGGAGTGTTAAGGTCTCAGTTTACAATCACGTATTTATCTAGTTATACACTAAGAAACAACAGGCCTTAAGTAAAGACAGATACTAGACAGCATTACAGAGCTTGAAAAAGTTTGTTCAGCCAGACACAGTGGCTCATGCCTATAATCCCAGTACTTCGGCAGGCTGAGGTAGGTGGATCACCTGAGGTCGGGAGTTGAAGACCAGCCTGACTAACATGGAGAAATCCCGTCTCTACTAAAAATACAAAAATTAGCCAGGTGTGGTGGCGCATGCCTGTAATCCCAGCTACTCGCCTGGACAAGTGTGAAACTCCATCTCGGAAAAAAAAAAAAAGTTTATTCAGACACAGAGGTATAGAATTCAGGTTGCTGGCTCCACCCACTCCGGAATGTTGTCTTTGTGACTGAAAAGAAGCAGAAGAAGCCAGTGTTTCCATACAAGTAGGGAGGCTCTAAGTCTTCTGCTCTGTTGCTCTTGACAATATTCTAAATCCTTTCTCTTCAGGTTTTAAGAGACCGTGTCAAGCAAGTATTCAAAGAAAAGTAGAATCAGGACAGGGAGACAACACTGGGAAGAGGGCGTGAAGATGCAATAACCTCGAACTCCCACCTTTGATAGATTCATTTTTTGCAAGAGGCAGTAAAGGCACTTGGGCTCGGCCAAGATATGAGCCAGGCTCTAAGTCTTCATCATCAAAAACATGTATAGACAGGGCCTCCCGTCTCAGATATTGGTCCAGGTCAGAGGTCACAAGCACCGGGAATCGAGCCTGGTCTCTAAAGTAGGGGTTGTTACTAGCTGGAATGATGGCAGTGTCATGGTCAGAAAAGGTGAAGAAGCGGTACACAGCATATGGACTGGGTTGAGTTCCCAGCCATCGACTCCGGAGGCCACAGCACTTGGTGATTTCAATCTGCAGCTCGTTCTGAGGTTCCCAAGACTCCAATCTGAACTGGAAAGATGTTGGTCATGTGAGGAAAAGGGCAGCTTGAGAGTGTTGTATGTGAAGCCTAGGATCTGTGGTGAGGAAGAGCTATGATCTAGAGAACAGCTATCCCAACTGGATGAGGAAGAAACCTAATGATCTTCACCTGCCTGCAAACTGGCTCTGGCAGTTATTTGAGGGAGATACTAGCACTCACGACTTAACTTAGAGAACAGCACAGAGAAACTATTCTGTTCACAGCAAGGATGAAGGATGTAGCTAACTCCAAAGGCATACTTCCATTTCAGACTCAAGCCTGACCAAGGGAATAATCCAGACTAGTTGTGGTGTGACAGTTTTCTCTTTCATTCACATTCAACAAATACTTATTGAGAGTGGAAGACTGAACTGTTTTCATGAGCTGTTTGGCTGAGGCTCCTCTGAGATGCCTCAACACATCCTTTTCCTCACCTCATCTTCCTGGGCCTTCTGGCCTCCAAGCACATTGGTTGACAGGTAGACCTGGGCTTTCTTTCGTTTATTGCATGCCTGTAGGCTGGGTTTTATGGGGAAACGCAGCCTCATCCAGTACTCTAGAACCCCGAACTCTTCTCCACCAGCTCCTGGGCAGCAGAAAGTATGAGAGCAGGGAGAATACAGATGGTGTGGCAAGGATCAAGAACAAAGACAAAGGAAGAAAATAAGAAACCACCAGAAAAGCAACTGTAGGCTTTGGGAAATTCTGCACTGGTGCTTAGGAGCTGCAGGAAGCCAACAGCACTTACCAATCAGTGTGGCCAAGCCATGGACTTTCTCCACAGTCTCTAGCACCCTGTCAAAGCAAATCCATCCTGCAGCAAGAGTGTTGTGTTCACTGGCCACAGCCTGGTGTAGATCAAGCCGGGCTGAAGCCTCTTGAAGGTAGTGTAAGAAAAGGGAATCTGTCTCCATCACATACTGGGAGGTGAAGTCATAGAGGGGCTGTGGCCCCACAGATAATGGGGTACAGTGGGTTTCAAAGTCATAGAAGGAATAGGTGCAGAAAGTGGTAGGTTGGGTATCTCCAGCTTGAGCTAGGGCGGCAGATGTCAGGAAGGCCTGGTGGATGTGCAGTTCAAAAAGATTCTCACCCTGATGCAGCAGAGAAATATCCACTTTATCCTCATCTCCATGGGCTGGCAGTGTTTCCAAACATAATGACAACTGTCGGGTACCATAAGCAACATCTTTGAGCTGTTCTAGAGGGGAAAGAAAACTGCCCATCCATTAAAGAGTAGGGAGTTCTTTCTCAGGGTAGAGGAGGGTGGACAAAAGAAATATAAAACACATGGTGGAAGTCCAAGTTGTGATTATTTCAAGAAACTACATGATTCAAAAAGAAACGCAACAGAATGACATCTGGGAGCATTGAATTTTGACAGTCAAATAATCCAATGCCAGCTTTAGGGAGAAGGTACAAAAGGAGGGATTGGAAAGTAGACGCTAAACTTACGAAAACACTGGGGGCACATTTTGTCTTATATATGACATTGTTTTGACGTACATCGTGGCCCTATGAATTAACTGGTAATTCCATAAGAGAAGTACTAGAAACACAAAAATATGAATATTTCTATAATTTGGTATATTGGCCATGGAGATAATAGCAAGTTGAAGACATAGTGTCTATGACATTACATTGAGTACCACCGAGAAATGCTTCTCCTTCTCCAGACAGGTCAGTCACCAGATCTTTCATTCTGTTCAGAATTTGGTTTCAACATAAGAAGGCAAAAAGTACATTATAAGTTAAAGAGTAATGGAGTAAAAAGTGGGAAAGGAGACTTACTGGAAAGAGGTAGGAAATATTGGCAGTGGGATGTAAAGATAGGTAGACAGTCTAGCAAATCTGGGTATTATCTCCCAAGTCCAACCAATCACAAACTTTGATATATAGCCTGCTTCAAATTGGGGAATATTTGAGTCATCACAGTGTGCTGCTGCTGCTGAAGGTCCTATTTTAAGAGTTAAAGCAGTAGAATAAAATATTCTAGATACATCAGAATATCTTCATGACACACACACACACACGAATAAGGAGACTATTTTCTTAATTAACAACATTAATATAATTAAATAGAATATACTTAAAATCTTACATTACATGATGCAGGAGTAATAATCTCAGCATAAAAAGAATTTCTATAAATGAAGAGGACACTGTTAAGAAGTGGGCAAAGGATAGGAATGGTCAATTCTCAAAAGGAATAATACAAATAACTGGTGAACATAGAAAAACTCGTTATCCTTATCAGTGATCAAAGAACTATTAGCTAAAGCAAATAAATCTTCAGACATAGGTAGGAGCAGTGACCTTTTATCAGACTCACCCTGACATGGATAAATTATGGCCCAGAGACACTTATGTGCTTTTATTCTTTTTTTTCTTTTTTCTTTTTGAGACAGAGTTTCACTCTTGTTGCCCAGGCTAGAATGCAATGGCCCAGTCTCGGCTCACTGCAACCTCTGCCTCTCAGGTTCAAGTGATTCTCCTGTCTCAGCCTCCCAAGTAGCTGGGATGACAGATGTCCACCACCACGCCCAGCAGCTAATTTTTGTATTTTTAGTAGTGATGGGGTTTCACCATGTTGGCCAGGCTGGTCTTGAACTCCTGACCTCAGGCAATCCACCCGCCTTGTCCTCCCAAAGTGTTGGGATTACAGGCGTGAGCCACTGTGCCCAGCCATATCCCTTTATTCTATTCCATGCTCACTAAGAAACCTACTTACTGATTTTGCTTCCTGAAAGAGGGCTGCCCTGGACTGTGGTTCCAAATTTCTCATGGCAGCAATGGAATAGCCACTATTGTAAAATAACAGACATTTGGGTTTAAATATCAGCTTCTGGTTAATTTGGTTTCTGTGAGTCACATCTTTCACCACTGGGTATAAAAATAAAGCCAAGCGTCTTGACAAACAAGCCTGAGACCAGGCTCTGGTCAACAGTGACTACACTAAGTATAGGAGGCACCACAATATGAAACTTGCATTCAGTGTCCAGCCAGCTGCCCTGTCACTGTCGGCATCCTCAAACTGCAACAACGATTTTAGAGACTTTAAGACAGAAATCACTGACAAGAATAACAGGAGATGAGTGATGAAGTTCTATTATCTGACTAAAACTGCTTTGAGGAAACAGTGACTAGGAGAGAGGGACAGGGGAAAGGAGCAAGAGAGAAAGAATGAGAGAGACAGAGCGAGAGAGAGAGATTGTGTGTTACGCTACCACCCTGAGAGCCAACAGTGACGTTCATTCTCACAACAGAATTAAGCCCCTGGAAGCAATTGCTGGGCCCTCTTGAAACTCCACAGAGAAATCAGAAAAACATGATGGAGGGAAAGAAGCTGCTAACATGTATTAAAACAACAAAGATGGGCCGGGAGCAGTGGCTTAGGCCTGTAATCCCAGCACTTCGGGAGGCCGAGGCAGGTGGATCACCTGAGGTCGGGAGTTCCAGACCAACCTAGCCAACATGGTGAAACCCCATCTCTACTAAAAATACAAAAAATTAGCCAGGTGTGGTGGCGGACATCTGTCATCCCAGCTACTTGGGAGGCTGAGGCAGGAGAATCACTTGAACCTGGAAGGCGGAGGTTGCAGTGAGACAAGATCGCACCACTGCACTCCAGCCTGGGCAACAGAGCAAGACTCCATCTCAAAAACAAACAAAAAAACAACAAAAATGATAGGATAAAGAACAAGAGGGATGAGTCATATCCTAAGGAGATGAGAGGCGCCCTTCTTGACAAGTACACAGAGTGGAACGCAGGCGTTAGCTGTGGAAGGGCTCCAAAGTGAGGAGAACAAAGGACTAAGACTTGCCAGATATTGGAAGGTCATGGCTTCTTAAAATACCTTCCAGCTGCTTGATACGGTTATTCTTGAGGTCTAGTAATCGAGTCAACCTCTCCAGCTTTTCTTTGTGATCTCTATTATCATTGTCAGCTTTTGTCATCATTGCCTCCAGTTCCTCCTGAAACAAAATAATGTCTGAACTTTTCTATCTCAGTGGCCTAAAACCAAACAGCATAAAAAATGTGGCACTGGCTAGGTCAAGAAGACTGCTACCCTTAGCTGGGCAGGTTCACCCACTAAAAGAAGGTTTGGTTTCCTTGAAGACCCCTCCAAGACTAGTTGTGCTATCAGTGAGGTAGGGTGGTTCCTAGGACTGGCAAAATTTGAACCCAGAAGCCTTATGCTTGCCATTGGCATGGGCTGGTCCCATCACTGACTTCTAGTGCCAAGGTGCCATGGGCACAAGTGAGTCTTCAAGTTCTTCAAAGGATAGCCATTCTGTGTTTGCTCAGGATAGCACACCACCTGGCATCAGCCCTGGAAACTTAGGTCTTGCTTCATTCCCAGTCCTGTGAGTGGTTCCCACGTCCCTATTATCCATCCCCTTCCTGTACCATCTTTCCTTGCACCTGATAACACACGTTGATTTTGCGCTGCAGAATAAGCATGTCCCTGGTCTTTTCTAGTTCCAATGTGGTCTCTGCATGTGATACTTGCAACTCATTTAGCACCTGGGACAGTTTCTTTTCTTCTTGGTTGTTGGGTTCACTTGGCTGTAGAGGGAAACGCATTGGTAAAAGGGAGTACAAATATGACAGGTAAAGTAATAACGATTCTCCATAAAACAGTTGTTGGTAGTAGTAAAATACTAGCAGCAGAAACTACTCCAAAATGTAAAAGAGGACCTGTATTACTTCACAAGTGCTCTTTCCCCTAGTCCTCATGTTCAGTAGCAGCAGTGAAGGGAGATCATACAGCCACTAACGACTGTTTGCTCTTCCACAGATCTTTTCAAGTCCTCATCTGAAAAAGATTCTAAATTTTATGAGCTTCAAAGAGTGGAAGAAATGGGTGGAGCTCATGAAGTTCTCTACTCTCAGCCTTCTCATAGTTTTCCAAAAAGTGTCCTCAAGCCAGGCATGGTGGCTCACACCTGTAATCCCAGCACTTTGGGAGGCTGAGTTGGGTGGATCACCTGAGGTCAGGAGTTCGAGACCAGCCTGGCCAAAAAGGCGAAACCCTGTCTCTACTAAAAATACAAAAAAATTAGCCAGCTGTGGTGGCAAGCACCTGTAATCCCAGCTACCCGGGAGGCTGAGGCAGGATAATTGCTTGAACCCGGGAGGCAAAGACTTCCGTGAGCCAAGATTGTGCCGTTGCACTCCAGCCTGGGAAACAAGAGTGAAACTCCATCTCAAAAAAAAGTAAAAAAAAAAGTCCTCAGTCAGGACAAAATATTATTTAGTTAGTTTTCTAATCTTGTCATCTTTTCTAGGGATATTTGCCAGAGATCTTTCTGCCGAGTGGACTAGTTTGTTTAAAGAGGCTCTTACCTGGATCTGAGTATTCTCTTGGAACACAGCTGGGTGAGTGGCTGCTTCAGATTGGCTGTCAGGAGGTTGGGAAATTGTGGCTGCCTTTTGGAGGAGCTCTACTTCCTGTTTATGCTTCTGAAGTATGTTGGTGACTTCAAGCTTCAGATCCTCATTTTGGGCTGGGGAAAAAATAATCCAGAAATTTGAAACTCTGTAGTTATTTATCACCATGGTCAGAGCTGGATCAAGTGTGAATTGAATCTTCCCACTAAGGTTTAATTAATGTTATAAATTTGAGAAGCAATTCTCTATTATTTCTACAGAGGAGGACTCTAGCTTATTGACTCAGTAAACTGAGGTGATACTACCTGCGCTCCAAAAACAAAAGACACCTGCAGAACCGTAGAGTGGAAAGTGGAACAACAATAACAACACAAAACAGGAAGGGAATCACTTGACTGACTAGGGCAATCCAAACTTTTTGATAGCACCATCGAAACAAGTATCTCACCAACTCCACCCCCACTCCATTCTGACTTCTAGGTCATTAGCTCTCTGTGACACCCATCTTCACACCCACCCTGGCCTGGATGGAGGATGGGTATTTCTGTGTTCCAGTGTGTGTGTGTGTTTCTTTTTCTCCTTAGACAGTCTCACTCCATCACTCAGGAGTCAACCTCTCCAGCTTTTCTTTGTGGTGCGATCTTGGCTCCCTGCAACCTCTGCCTCTAGGGTGCAACGATTCTTGTGCCTCAGCCTCCCAAGTAGCTGGTATTACAGGCGCGCGAAACTACAAATGGCTAATTTTCATGTTTTTAGTAGAGATGGGGTTTCACCATGTTGGCTAGGCTGGTCTCAAACTCCTGGCCTCATATGATCTGCTGACCTCGGCCTCCCAATGTGCTGGGATTACAGGCAGGAGCCACCACACCAGGTTGTGTGTGTGTTTTTCACAGAAGAAAGGTAATCAGTGAGCAGATCGTTTCATCATCATGCATTAGAGAAGGGATTAAATTAGATTGCCCTGAAGGTCCTTACAAGACTTCACTTGTGCTTCATACATACTAATTGGCATGTGCTCCTAAACTTTATTCTTTTGTGGTTCTTGCCTCTATTTTTCTTGATTTCATATTTCTTTTCCTTCAGTTTCCTATTTGAATACACTAAAACCTGATGAGATATAAATTTGATAAGACTAAATATTCAGGTCCAGGCTAGGAAAAAGTAATAAGATGAAGGTCTTTTTGACAGTATTTTAAAATGTTCCAAATACCTATCTCCTGAGATCCAAGAGTTAAGATGGGGGTGAAATGGCAGTGGTAACCAAGAATAGTAATTTGCTTCTCAATTTCAAGAATTGGGTAGAAAAAAAAAAAAAAAAGTCTTCCAGTTACCTCTAAAATAATGAGAATGATAAAAGACAGAGAAATTCACTTTCAATACTTTCAGCCAGGTGTAGTGGCTTACACCTGCAATCCCAGCACTCTGGGAGGCTGAGGGGGATGGATCACTTGAGGTCAGTTTGAGACCAGCCTGGCCAACATAGTGAACCCTTGTCTCTACTAAAATATACAAAAAATTAGCTGGGTGTAGTGGTGGGCACCTGTAATCCCAGCAACTTGGGAGGCTGAGGCAGGAGAATCTCTTAAACCTGGGAGGCAGAGGTTGCAGTGAGCCAAGATCACATCACTGTGCTCCACCCTGGGTGACAGAGCGAGACTCTCTCAGAAAAAACAAACAAACAAAACAAAACAAAATAAAATTTTCAATAAACTGAATGTTTGAAAAACATAATAAATTAAGAATTGGCAGGCCAGGCGCAGTGGCGCACGTCTGTAATCCCAGCACTTTGGGAAGCTGAGGCTGGTGGATTATCTGAGGTCAGAAGTTCACGACCAGCCTGACTAACATATAAAATCCCATCTCTACTAAACACGAAAAAAAATAGCCAGGCGTGGTGGTGCATGCCTGTAATCTGAGCTACTTGGGAGGCTGAGATAGGAGAATCGCTTGTACCTGGGAGGTGGAGGTTGCAGTGAGCTGAGATTGCGCCATTGTACTTAAGCCTGGGCAACAAGAGCAAAACTCCACCTCAGAAAAAAACAAAAACAAAAGCAAACAAACAAACAAACAAAAAAACTAGCATCTTCTCAAATGGAAAGACATTATACAGGAAAAAGTATACATGAGAGATAGGTAAGTGTCATGCTTTCCTGATTGTAGATCTGATCTATTGCTAGTGTTCTCATTCTAGTTACCTACAACCCACAAAAGAATAGGATCAAGTGAGGGGATTGAAGAAATGATGCCTCAAGTTCTCTTCTCCCACACCAGAGGTAGAGGATGCCACATTTGCGAGAGCTCTTCAAGGTCCAACCTACCTTTCTCCCTGGACAGATCAAGTAAAACTTTTCTTTTCTCCTCCAGCTCAGCATCCAGCTGATCCTGCAGCTGAGAGACTTGCTGCTGCAGCTGTTCTGCTATGAGCTCGTTGCTCCAGTGGGGCTGACTACTGCTGTCCAGCATGCTGACAACAGAAAGCAAGCTCTCAGATACCCCAAGGTGTGTGATATGACGTCTTTATTATCCAGGTTCAGATCTCCTGGACCTAGTTCCTCATTCATTCCCCTACATGTTTTTTTCTGCCCCTTGCTTTATTCATAACTGTCATTTACCAACTGCCTTGGAACTTTTGAGTCCTACTAAGTTATTGCTCAGTACCACTTCTGTTTAGGTCTCAGATATCTCACTTAGCAAACATCCCAAGTCATATCCATTTCCCAAGGAACTTCTCCATCATGATGGCTATCTTTAGTCAGGGAACTATGTACCAAGACATTCCCAGCCCTGCTGGATGAGAAATGAGAAACAAAATCTTCCTTGTTTCATACCCCATGCCTCTATCTACCTTCACCAATGGCTAGAGAATGTTTGTCTTTGACCTAGATTATAAATTACTATGCTGAAGGGCAGGAATTAAACTTTTCAAAAACTGTATCCTCCACCCTATTGCATCAAGCTGTCAGAGCAGACCCATTCTGAGTATAAAATACACATGGCTGGTTCCTTTTTTTTTTTTTTTTTTGAGGCATGGTGGCACACACCAGTGGTCCTGAGCTGTTACCCGGGTTGGACTGCAGGAGTGCAGTCTTGGCTCACTGCAACCTCCACCTCCCAGGTTCAAGCGATTCTCCTGCCTCAGCCTCCTGAGTAGCTGGGATTACGGGTACCCACCACCAGGTCCAGCTAATTTTTGTATTTTTTTTTTCCCTGAAACAGAGTCTTGCTGTGTGGCTCAGGCTGGAGTGCAGTGATGCAATCTGGGCTCACTGCAAGCTCTGTCTCCCGGGTTTACGCCATTCTCCTGCCTCAGCCTCCCGAGTAGCTGGGACTGCAGGCACTTGCCACCACGCCTGGCTAATTTTTTTTGTATTTTTAGTAGAGATGGGGTTTCACCATGTTAGCCAGGATGGTCTCGATCTCCTGACCTTGTGATCCACCCGCCTTGGCCTCCCAAAGTGCTGGGATTACAGACTTGAGCCACCGTGCCCAGCCTAATTTTTGTATTTTTAATAGAGGGGACTTCACAATGCTGGCTGTGCTGGTCTTGAACTCCTGACCTCAGGTGATCCACCTGCCTCGGCCTCCCAAAGTGCAGCGATTATAGGTGTGAGCCACCATGCCCAGCCACATGGCTAGTTCTTGATCATTCATACAAATGAAATGACACGAATAATCAATTATTTCTTTTTATGTTTTATTTTGTATTTATCAATTTAATAAATGTGGTTTAAAAATAATTTATCGGGCTGGGCGCAGTGGCTCATGCCTGTAATCCCAGCACTTTGCAAGGCCAAGGAGAGTGGATCACGAGGTCAGGAGTTCGAGACCAGCCTGGCCAATACAGTGAAATGCCGTCTCTACTAAAAATACAAAAAGTAGCGGGTGTGGTGGCAGGTGCCTGTAATCCTAGCTACTTGGGAGGCTGAGGCTGGAGAATCGCTTGGACCCAGGAGGCAGAGGTTGCAGTGAACCGAGATTATGCCACTGCACACCAGCCCAGGTAACAGTGCGAGACTCCATCTCAAAAAATAAACAACTAACTCACCGGCCAGGCCGGGTGGTTCCCACCTGTAATTCCAGCACTTTGGGAGGCCAAGGTAGGCAGATTATCTGAGGTCAGGGGTTCAAGGCCAGCCTGGCCAACATGGTGAAACCCTATCTCCATTAAAAATACAAAAACTGGCTGGGCACGGTGGCTCACACCTGTAATCCCAGTGCTTTGGGAGGCCGAAGTGGGTGGATCTTGAGGTCAGGAGTTGGAGACAGCCTGGCCAACATGGTGAAACCCTGTCTCTACTAAAAATACAAAAAATTAGCCAGGTGTGGTGGCAGGCACCTGTAATTCCAGCTACTTGGGAGGCTGAGGCAGAATAATCGCTTAAACCCAGGAGGCAGGTGTCGCAGTGAGCTGAGACTGTGCCACTGCACTCCAGCCTGGGCAACAGAGTGAGACTTCATCTCAAAAAAAAAAAACACCACAAAAATTAGCCAGGCGTGGTGGTACACACCAGTGGCCCCAGCTACTTGTGAGGCTGAGGAAGGAGAATTGCTTGAACCTAGGAGGCAGAGGTTGCAGTGAGCCGAGATCACGCCACTGCACTCCACCCTGGGCAACAGAGTGAGACTCTGCCTCAAAAAAAATAAAATAATAATAATAATAATAACTTACTTAGGCAAGTATTAACATTTCTTGGCATTTCCTGACCATTACCATGTAAAGACTCAAGAAAATAGCATTTTGAGTGATGAAGGAGAGAGGCAAATAGTAATGTCTATCACAGAGTAATGTCTATCAAAGTGGATACTCCCCACACTGCTTTATTTCACTGAGATGAAGAACATCAGTTGTTCCCAGGTGCTCCCATAAGACCTCCTCAATCTACCCCCTGCTGCCT